TGGAAGCCCTCTCTCCCCCAAGCAGTGTCGTAAAGCTAAATCAGCATCGCCTCGAACAGGTTTTTAAGCTTCTCAAGTGAACATCTGCTTTCTGCCCATGATGGTAAAATTGGAACCCATTTTATCTTTCCATCTTAACTAAAAACCCAAGCAAAATATATAAAACAGTGGTCTTCAGACATTGAAAGTTCATAGCACAGGACTATGAGCTCTGATAGAAGAGGAAAAAATGAGGGGAATCCAATGAATGTTCAAGCTGATGGCTCAGAGGCAGTTTCTAGGCAGCAAAGCAGGAAGCCAGAGACCAGTGATCTTGCTGAGTTGTGGAGATGGAGATCAGTGCTACGGGAGGCCACAGTGGGTAGAATTTCTAGGCAGAGAAAATGAAAGGGGGAAGCGTACACAGAGAGGGTTCTGCGGATCTGTAGTGGGTCTCCTTCAGTCTTTGGCTTAGAGAAGGAGAGAAGAAACTACCCCTAACCGGGCGTTGTGGCAGGCGCCTGTAGTCCCAGCTACTCTGGAGGCTGAGGCAAGAGAATTGCCTAAGCCCAAGAGCTGGAGGTTGCTGTGAGCTGAGACACTACGGTACTCTACCAAGGGTGACAAAGTGAGACTCTGTCTCTAAAAAAAATTAAAAAACAAAACAAAAAAACCAAAAACTACCCTAGCTAAGAAATGAGTAACTGGAAAATAGCAAAGCAAATAATTTACAGATCACGTATGGGGTGGGAAAGTTTGGGTTTCTACTAGCCAGAGTGGAAATAACGCATAACTCATGGGGCATCAGGTAGAAAAAGGGTGTTTGTTGCCTAGGTAGTGAGGTTAAAGTATCCGTAAACCAAAGCCTTCTCTGGGCTTCCCCTAACAAAGTTTTTTATAAGCAAGCCTTAGAAAAATCAAACTAATTTCCAGAAATTATATATGCAGAATAAATATATATTATTTATTATGTGCACCATAATGAAGCCCAATATTATTTAAAGGACTACAAAAAAATCCATCAACAAATGACATAACAGGCCAGGCATGGTGGCTCCTGCATGTAATCCTAGCACTCTGGGAGACTGAGCTGGGTGGATCACCTGAGTTTGGGAGCTCGAGACCACCCTGACCAAGAGCAAGACCTATCTCTACTAATAATAGAAATATCAGCTGGGCATGGTAATGTACACCTATGGTCCCAGGTACTCAGGAGGCTGAGGAAAGATAATCACTTGAGTCCAAGAGTTTGAGGTTGCTGTGAGCTATGACACCATGGCACTCTGGAGCAACAGAGCAAACACTCTGCCTGTGTTTGAGACAGAACTCTGTCTCCAAAAAAAAAAGAACTAGCACTATGTGGGGCTGAGGTGGGTGACTCGCCTGAGCTCATGAATTTGAGACCAGCCTGAGCCAGAGTGAGACCTCATCTCTAAACTAGCCAGCCACTGTGGTGGTTGCCTATAGTGCCAGCTATTCAGGAGGCTGAGGTAGGAGAATCAGAGTTTGGGGTCTCTGTGAGCTGGGACATCATAGCACTCTACTAAGGAGGACAAAATATGACTCTGTCTCAAAAAAAAAAAAAGGAAGAAAAAACCATTTATTAAAATAAATACTTTGAGGCAGGAAGTAGCTTCTGCCAAGGGACATAAAGGCAAATGAGGTCAAATCTTCATGAATGAGGGGATAGCAGCAGATCTCAAAGATGGTACAGACCACAACAAAAAATTTAAATTCCACTCTAGTAACATCCAATCTTTGAAAGGTTTCAAGCAGGGGGTGCTAGGAATTATTTTTAAAAGCTTATTTTGTGTGCTGAGCTTAAGCTGAAGCTGAGCTGGTCACAGATGCCCAGTAGAGGCAGAGAGGCCAGCTGGGAGGCTTTCCCCAGCTGTTTGGTCAAGAGATAATGGTTTGGACCTGAGCTGTATCAGTGGAGCTGGGGAGAAGTGGTTGGATTAATGATACAATTTGGCAGTATGGTTGATTTAACTTGTTTAGAGTTTTACATGTGGAGTAGAGAGGAAAGAGGCCACAGGATGGCCCAAGGTTTGGGGCCCAAGACCTTGTGAGCATGGTCATGCCACTGAGTGATAAGGAAAAGCACTTTGGGAAGTAGGATCTGGCTCTACAGTCACACGCTGCCCAGGAAGACAGGCCACCATACAGAGGACAGCAGTCCCCTAACACTGTAACACCGTATTTTCATGGTATCTTTTCTATGTTTAGATATACACTTACCATTGTGTTCCAACCGCATAGGGCATTCCATATAGTAAAGTGCTATACAGGTTTGCAGCCTGGGAGCAACAGGCCATACCAGCTACCAGGCGTGTAGTAGGCTGCACCATCTAGGTCTGTGTAAGCACATTTCTTGATGTTTGAACAACTATGAAATTACTTGATGATGCATTTCTCAGGAACATCATTAAGAGAGGCATGACTGTATCAAGTTTGAAATATCTGTAAGTGCAGATTTGGAGTAGCAATTGGCATACTAATCTAGAATTCTTGAAGGAAGGCCAGACAAGAGAAATTTGGGAGTTTGCAGTATGGTGTTAAATAAATTCACTAAGGGACAGTGTTGCTTGAGAAGCTCACATTATTCCCCTTCTTAAAAATCTTCATGGTTGTCCCATACCATGAAACAAAACCCAGATTCCTTGGGATGACATCCTAGGGCCCCTACATTCCTGCACCAGATGCCTTTCCTGTTTTGTGTCCCACTGTGCTATTTAGACTTCCTAGGATAGGTACGTGGCTTCCCCTAAACACTTGTCTGTGTCTTTGCTCATGCCATCCGGAATGTCTTTCTTTTGCCAACTATCCCTTCTGGGTGAAATCCCCCTCACCCACCTGTCTTAGTTCAGGTTCACCCCATCCTGCCCATCTACCCACTCAGAAGCTATGACATCTTCCTCTGAGAACATGTCACTCAACTGCAAAGTAAGTGAAAAAATGACTCACCCAGTGGGTCTGGAGGTGGACATGCCAGTGGCTGATCAGTGACCTGGATGTTATCAACAAACAATGCTCCTTTTCCTTTGCCACCCATGGTACATGGCTTCCATCCTCACTGGTGCCTCATAGATTATAAGATTATTGCTCTTTCTCCAGCCTCCCACCCATCACAGGGACAAACAGGAGAAAGGAAGTCACAGATGGCAAGCTTCCTGGAATTCCAAGATTATGCCCATGACCTTGGTGACCACAAGGAGGCTGTGGGGTACAATTTTTTTCTGTCTACGTGCATGGCCAGGCTGAACAATTCTACCCCTGGTGATGAATGTTGGTGTGGGCCCAGCAGGGCTTACCAGAGCCCAGAGAGCTATTCCTTTGCTTCTCCTCTGGTGCTGATACATGTTTTGCAGGGTGATCGTGTATCTTTTTTATTAGTTTTGAACCCTTTCCTGATAGCTCATTCACATTCTTCTGGCATAGGATTGTCTCACTTTTACCCAGAACACAAGAAGTATTTACCCAGGACATTTTCCCCATCACTGACCAATGCCTACAGATTGCTCTGGCCCTTGTTCTGTAAATAAAGCTGGACTGTGGAAGGTGGTGTGGGGCAGCTCACTGAGAAACACTGATTATACTACCACTGATGACTGGGTAGCTTCTTAAGGAAAATAGACCTCAAGAATAAGGTCCATGTTTTCTTCAAAAGACCATCTCTGTCTCTCAGTGGTATCCTCATATCCACCAAAGTATTAATAAATTATCCCACTGTGCTCATTTTACGATGTAATCTGAGTGATATAAACAATTATTTACATGGAGGCTTAAAACACAAAAGCAGAACCAAGAAGCCTGTCCAGTGGTTCCCTGTCCTTCCAGGATGGCCACAGAATGGGCACCATCAGCAGGTAGGGGAAAAGACTGAGGCACAGACAAATGACTCATTGTCACTGTGCTTCTCCAAATGAATATACTCTCATCCCCACACAAGAAGCAACAGAATTCAATCAAGATTCTTCAGAAATAGTAGGAGGGCAGAAATCAAACTAAAGTTGAGGCTATTTCCAACTGACAGCCCAAAGAGTCACTTGCTTCTCTTCCAACTCTTAGACAAAATAAAGTAGACTAGGCACAGCGGCTCACACCTGTAATCCTAGCACTGTGGGAGGGAGAGGAGGGCAGATCATTTGAGCTCGGGAGTTTGGAGACCAGCCTGAGTAAGATCGAGACCCCATCTCTACTAAAAACAGAAAAAACTAGCCAGGCAGCATGGCAGGTGCCTGTAGTCCCAGCTGCTTGGGAGGCTGAGGCTGAAGGATCACTTGAGCCCAAGAGTTTGAGGTTGCTGTAAGCTATGGTGATGCCATGGCACTCTACCCAGGGTGACAGAGTTAGACCTCTTTTGTCTCCAAAAAAAAAAAGAGAGAGAGAGAGAGAGACAGAGAAGGGAGGGAGGGAGGAAGGAAAAGACAAAATAAAGTAGAAATAATTCAGTCCCAGGGCTTCTATGATTATCTCCAAATTAAAGTGTAGGTGTATAAGGCAGGCCATCAAGTCTACGCTCATGGAACTTTTGAATAAGACATAGTTCACAAACTATAAGTGAGCCCGACAGAAGTTGTTCACACACTAAGAGTGAGCTCCACAGAAGAACGAAGTAGTAAAGCTGAAGGTACTGGATGTTTCAGGGATAAATCCAGTTCTGGTCTCCCTGTATTTCATCCATGCCTGTGAAAAGTTCTCACATCTCTCCCCATGCCACATCACCTGAACTGCCAGTCAGTACATTATTGGTAAGTCCTAAAGTCTGTAGGATGTTATTTGGAGTTATTTTTCCATGTGACCTTTTAAATGACAATAACCAGTGTCTGTGACATTCTCTCTCCTCTCAGTTGGGTCCCCACCTCCCACAGGGACCTTCTGGTTTCACTGCTGTTATTCAGTTAGAACCAAGCAAAGCACTCGATAATTCTGTACAAGATGACCTATCTCATTTTCAAAAAACATAAAATCCCCCCCAACCCACAGACCAACCCCACATGAACAAAATGTTTCAAATATTTACTTTAAAATTGTTTTATTCAAAGCAAATTAAAAACCTAATAGATATTTTTCTTTAAAAATGGTCATTTTTAAATAGTTTTATAATTAGTTTCAATGTTGCTCATCTTACCTTCAAATAAATGATTTTTATATTAAGTTAAAGATTTCTGATGTCCATGTCCATTCTAATCTTTTTTAGGTAGCTACAAGATTTCATAATCAAAAGCCAACGTGGAAAAAAAAAAAAGCCAACACCACTTTTCCAAAATTTAGAAGAAACAGTCCTTGTGCCAATGTAGTAGAAAACTGCTCCAAATGTCAGCTCTTGATTCCCTGCTGTATAAAAAGAAGTGCTTCATTTTCTTCAAAGGGAAGGAGTCTTAACTCCTTACATATGTTTCTGCCTCAAAGACATGTCTAAAATGGTGTCTCAAGTTTTATTTTATAAACCTCGTGATGAGTTGACCTGTGCAGAGCAACTTTGAGGGATATTTTCATGCTGAAAAAAAAAAAAAAGGCTATTTGGTAGCTGCAATGGACTTAAACCAAGAACCTCACCATGGTCTCCTGGCCTTTCTAAAGAAGACAAGACTCTGGCTAACAAAGGTGCCAAAGTACGGAAGTAGGAAGGAGGGAGGGTGTGGGCCACAAGAGCTTTACATTAAAATAAAGACTTTCCATTTCTCCTGTGTCTAAAGGTGTTGAAATTCTAATTATAGAAGATTAGAAGGTAATTAGCAACTCAATTATTTAAAAACAAATATAAAAATGCACAAACCAAATAATGCAAAAAAAAAAACAACCCACAAAACTCTTTTTAATCTAACACCTCATTTTCCTTGGGGCTAATGGCCTCGCCTGACCAAGGTCTATCAGTTTGTTTGACTAATAAGAGCTATTCAGCATTTTCTTTAAAGTCAGATAAGGAACAATAGATTTTGCTAAAAACGTTCTAAATTAGGACACCATACTGTAGGCAAGGAAAGAAAAGAGCCATAACTTTGTCTTTGGTGTAACCAAAAGGATATCCACAAGTTAGCAAATGTTGACATTTCAAGTGGTAGGAAATGGCCAAATGGAAGTTTAAACTCTGGTTTAAAAAGGGTCAAAAATCGTGTCAAAGGAAAAGCTCCGCCCACAGTCCTGTAGTGCAAGTTTTCAAATTTAATTCTGCAAAATAACTTTATTTACTAGGCAGGAAACCAATTCCAGCAGTGTGTCCCTTACTCCTCCCCGCCTTGCCTCTCCCCCGCTGTCGGTATGTCCCCACGTCACTTCCCTTCTCACAGGACGCTGCAGCCGCTACTCAAGGGGGAACTGCATTTAAAAATTACCCACACTTCTAAAAATCCGGCTAAGAGCTGGGTGTATGAGGCTGCACAGCAGCGGGCACTGAGTTACAGCTTTGCCAGCTCCACGTTTCTTATGTTTACCAAAAAAAAGAAACAAAGCCTATTTCCCCCAGAGAAAAAGTACCTGAACCCATTCGCCCTTCCCCAGCTTCTCCGAGCTCACGGGACACGCTCCCCTCCAGCACACACGTGCGTACATCCCCGCGTTCTGCCGGCAAGAACCAGCTAATCCACCGCCTCTTTCTTAGAAGCAACAACGTCTTCTCCCTTCTCGTGGAACTCACACGTTTCCCTAAACAGAAGCTCTGACAGCGGTTACCACCTCGTCCGGAGACGCCCAGCTTACTCCACCCAGCTGAACTCTGGCTTACTTTCCCCTATATCTGTACACGTTGTGTGTGTGTATTTTTAAAAAATATGTTTAAAATGCACACACACCCACACACACCCTGACACACCCCCAGTATTTAGGAAAAAAAAAATCTTCCCCAGGAAGCACTTTCAGAAGTTTAAGCTTCTACTTGCATTTAAGCCACAGGGCAAGTGCCAAGTGAGTCCTAAGTGACCCTCCGCTCACACTGCAGGGCCGGCAGCGCTGGGCCCACAGCAGGACTCTGGGTGGGGTCCCGGGCAGCCAGGCGAGGACACCTAGCAGGCTTGCTCTAAGGAGGCATTGCTCATCTCCCATCACCCGGGAGAGTCACGTTCTTGTCCCTAGCTCTCCTCCTTCAGAGAACCTCCACACTGCTCTGACTGCTCCCTGTCCCCTACACTGGCTGTCCCATTGGCAGGGCCAGGAGCCGGTGGCTGCAGGGAGGCGGCAGGCTCTTCGCTGCAAAGCGGCCTGCCCTCGTCCATCTCATCCCCCGCCCGCCCATCCAGCGAGCATCCCTGCGCGGTGCCGGGAGCCCCGCGCGCTCTGCTGTCCACAGACTCGGTGGCTTCGCCTTCGCCCTCCGAGATGACCGTCATGGGGCTGCTCTGGATCCGGTTCCGCACGCTGTACCTGCTGCTGGCGGCGGAGGGCGGCGTTCGACTGCGGCCGTACCTGGGGCCGGAGAACGACAGACTCCGAGGCATGGAGCCTTCGTTCTTGGCCCACTCCTCCTGGGCCCTTCTGCTCTTGCTTGGGGAGCAGCTTGACGGGCTCTCGGGAGTGTCTGTTGCAGGCTCCGACCTGGACCTCTGGAATCGCGGGTCAGTGTTCTTGAGCATCTCCGCCGCCGACATGCGGGCGCTGGTGTCAGAACGACTCCCCTTCTTGAGCAGCAGAGCTTTGAAGTTGTCGCTGCTGGTGCTGCTCTTCCGGACACTTCTCTGAATGGATCCCACCTGCTTGGGAGAGGCCAGGCTCGGGGCAGCGCCAGTGGGTGTCACCGGCGGGGAGGGAGAATGGTTTCGGGAATGGTCATCATCCGAATCTTTCCGGCCAAGGACTTTCCTTTTAGATCTGAGATTTAATAACATTAAGAGAAAGATTAATTCCCATTAGGCCACAACCATCCTAGGTCTCCTAACTCATCCTCCGGTGCTTGATATTTGCTGCAAAGGACTGATGTGTATTTTCTTTACAAACACTATCATAAAAGGCACAAGTTAAAAAAAAATTATTTAATTTATGAAAAATATAAAATAACCCACTTCAAAAAGAACAGTCATTGTTTGACCTCATGAAACCACGACTCATTGAGGATAATCACTAACTGTGGGCTTCCTTATTTATCTCCACTCTCACTGGAATATTTTGAAACAAATCTTAGACATCATAGTACCTTACTTCAGACAAGACCATTTCCAAAGTTTCAAATAATTGCCAGGCTTTATGTAACTTTCTCTGGTGGTGATCCCCAGTGGATTTCACATGCTTACCATCCTTTCTTTCTGCTCTTCCCTTTCATGTGTGGTGCTAGTCCTTGAACAGGCCTGGTCAACAAGCCAAGGTCCAGCATATCCCCTATACTGAGAGATGCCCTGTAACTTCATATTCTCAGTCATTGTAGAGTTTGACCTAAAACCAGTCTTCCTCAGCTTTTATAGGACCATATGCCAACCTCTACAAGTCCAGGTTCCCAGAAAACAAGAGTGAACCTTCTGGTGTAGATCCTGATTCATGGTCCACTTCAGAGGACTTCTCACTGACCAAGAAACCGTGAGGGATGGGAGTGGAGAGGGGACAAGGAGGGGCTCCTCAAGGGAAGGAAATGTCTCCTGCAGGGACTTCTTGTCCTCAGTCTGTAAGGACCTCTCTGGTCAATGTGTTTTCTACTGCTGGTGATGCTGAGGGGCACAGCTGATGAGTCAAGTGGCCCCTTGCCAGGCTCTTCGTGACAACTCAATGTGTGTGTGCACATTTTAGCTAAGCGCAGATGGACTTGCTTTAAGAAAGTTCAACACAGTTAATGAACTAAAGATACGGGTGTATCTCTTTTCCTGCTATAAAATTCTAGAAATGCAGTAGTTAAAGGTTGAGAGTATGGTATCTGTACGTGCAGATCAAGAGTTGAAACCGAGTGATAGCCACGTCTAGCGCGTAGCCTGGGACAAGCTGCCGGTCCCTGCTGTACCTCAGTTTCCACGTTTTATTATCTGAAATGAGGGTGTGATTATATAATACCAACCTCACAGGTGTGCATCGCCTTGGGCAAGTTAAAATTTCCAATTGTGTTTCCTATCTGAAAAGGGGGCAGAACAGTGTTTGGACCATAATTTCTCAACAAAGATGAATGTAGTAAAGCCATCAAGTATCAGGCACGCAGCAGGTGCTTCAGGGAACTCTGAATGTTACATAGGGAAGAGAATTCTTCCTGCTTATTGGCAGGGTAAGGCAGAGGGGGGGATGGGCCCATGTGTCTGCCCTGGACTTAGTGCTCCCAGAGTCATCGCCTTGATTCTGTCCAAAAATAAGCCACCAAAGAGGAGGGCAGAAAGTTGTAAGCACCTAATACTAAAGGGTGGCCAGAGCTACTCCTGGGGTACCTGCCCCTCTGGGACAGCAGAACATGGCCTATGATACTTTGGTTCCATGGTCCTGCCCCCGTGGTCAGTAAGAACAGTGTCTACAAGTATAGACACTTATACTGTGTCAACAGTATAAGTTAATGACTGGCTGACAAATCATTCGAATAATAGCCTCTCCAAAGCGGACAGCTACAAAAGACTCTAGAAAATGGAAAAGTCCAACCACTTCGGGCTTCAGAGATGGTAACTGAAGCCTGAAGAGTGAAGTCACACAACTTGTTAGTATGACAACGAGGACTTGATAAAGTATCTTTCCACACACAGCACATGGCCTCACCACTCCCACTGGTCACTCCCCAAAAGCAGCTCAGCTCATCTCATTCTTTCAAGGTTTGGTTTGTGGTGTGATTTTTTGGTTTGGTTTTTAAATAGTGAGGCTGTGTTGAGATCCATAAAATGAGCCACAACTAAACTCAATGAAAGCTGTGGCCTTTAATTGTAGATTTAGAATTAAGAAAGATGGGATTTTATAAAAGCATTGTTGTTTCTGAAGAGCAGCTGCCCCCCAAAATGAGAATTAAATCTAAACAGGAATTCTTTGCATATATATACACACATACACACATGCACACACATATATATACATACACACACACACACATATACAAATGTATACATGTATTTTTAAAGAAGATGGCTATAAAAAGTATTTAAACAGTTAACACTGGCTTAAAATCTAATTACTTCAATAAATATAAAAACTTCACACCTCAACTGGTGTTCTACATTTTCCATCTGGCTTTAAATCTGAAGTGAATTAATTTGCATTATAAAATTTGAAAGCTGTGTTTTAACTTAGATATTCTTTATTTCAAATTATGAGCTTAGGTGCTAAAAGACAGACAAATAAAGCCTTAAAACACACAGACACAGACCTTTACTATGTCTGCTCATATATTCTCCACTCTACAACAGAAATTGGCACGTGTCCTTGCTTTCTCTTTGCAATCCACTCCTACGACCTAACTGGCCTTCTCTCATGTGTACACAGAATAATACAAACTGACCGATTTCTATAGGTGCAGTAAGAAAAAAACGCACATTTTTTAGTGCCTTAAGAAGGTTGCCAAAACAAGATAGAGAGTAGACCTTTGGCACACTTTTAGGAAAGGGATGCAGTAATTTGGTTTCACAACAGTTGGGTTTTCTCATTGGAACCAAGTATTTAGTACACGGAGCAACCAGGCAACAGTCTCCTCGAGGGATTGCGATTATAAATACGTATATGCCTGTATATTTAGCAACCCGATGCATTCCTTATTAAAGCAAATACTTTGAGTCTTGGAAGGATCTGCTGACAGTTACATTCCAACTGGTTTTATTTAACTCAGAAAATATTTATTGAGTGCTTATTATGTGTCTAGCACGGTTCAAGTTAGAAACATCTATGTAAACTTCTAGAAATGCCACTAAAGTTGGTTTCAAAGGATGCATATTTTTTCATTTCCTTGTTTCGAGAAATAATTGGATAACTAGCTACCTTTTTATTTCTAATGACATCAAAGAAATCAGTCAATGCTTAACGAGGGCAGTCTTTTTCTGGTGCCAGTAGATGGCACTAACGGTATATAGTAACCAGCAAATTTAATTCCTTTTGCTCTTGCCTAAAAAGAGACGTATGCTTTTATGGAAACATTAAGCAGCCAAAGAAATTGTACTATAAAATCCTGAATTTTTTGAAAAATAAAGAAAAAAGATAAAAACAAAAACCTAAAACAGCCTTAGGAAGAAAGTGCTGTACAGTAGTCTGTTGTGCATCCTAAGCGCACAGAACACAGCATTCCTTACCGGGCACTGGACTGCTGGCTGCTTTAATCCAACTCTCATTAATCCTGCCTTATGACTGACACGTGGCATTCCTTGCCAGCAAGGGCAATGCCTACCAGAAAGTAGCACATTGAAGTTCCCAAGATTATGAAAATCAGAAGGTCAAAGTAAAACAGAAATTGGAGTCAGAGGAAATAAAACTATAGAAACCCACTTAAAAACAATCAATAATAAAGTTAATGAGACATGACTGGGAGACAGAGGAAATCTTAAGAAAGAAAAGGCAACTGAGGAGCCCTGTGGAGAGAAGGAATTATAAAGTAGATTAAAGTAAGAGAAAGGCTTTTTGGATACCTGTGGATAGCTGCAAAAAGGTCTTCTGTGGTCCTGGGTCTACTGGGGGTCATCACCTCATCACTCCCGTCTTCCCTGGGGAAGTCACAGGCCTCGGAGGAGGAAGCGGCTGTGTCGGTCTGCGGCACCCCGGCTGTAGAGAAATAAGCGAGCAGGCACACAAGATGCACAGTGACTAGGATGTCAGTCCTCAGCCAAGCTTCCACACACACCGCCGCTTCCCTGCCATTCCTGACAATGCGAGGACCACAGGGAGATGCCGTGGGGGCTGGAGTTTGATAGTTTACAAAGATATGGGAGATGAAGCCAGCCGCAGACCCAGAGCTCATTCTTTTGTTAAAGTGTAGAACTCCCACTGAATCTCTCTTCAGTTTTGTTGCAGTGTTTCCTTGCAGCTCTTCAGAAGGGAGATTACTCACTGCTATTTAACAGCCAGCCTGCTGCAGATCATCCCCACCCCCCTTTTTCTGCCATTCCTTTAGGTCTAGATTTTTTTTAATTCACAAAATGCAAAGTTGGTCACTTACCCTGTTCAGTGGCACAGGAAGCCCACATACTGTTTGGCTTTGACATGAATCTAATAGGATCTACCTGGGCTCCACATGGTAGCATTGGGCAGCCCTACTTGGCTCAGCTGCAGATGCTCAGAGGTCACAGGACAGAGAAGCCAGACTCACCCTCTCCATCCTGTCTAGACAGGCAGCTCTCCACGTCACCTCCACCATCCTCACTGTTCTCGGCTGGCTCTTCCTGCTGGGGGCCAGGTAAGGTATCAGGCTGTACCATGGGGACATTGGCTTCCACCGTGCCTGGGGACACAGATTCTGCAGCTCTTTCCTCAAGAACCAAGCTGCCAGGATGCGTCGCATGAGAGCCAGCTCGGGCTGCGGGACTCTCTCCTGCCTCATTGTGGGCAGGGCCCTCCTCTCCCCTCGTGGGGCTGTGCACAGCTCGGAGGGCTTCGCTCACGTTCTCTGCGGGCTCCGCTGTGAAATCTCTCTGTGGAGGTGGCACCACTAGGAACAGTTTGGGCTTCTTAGAAATGGGCGGTGGCTTCCTGCTGGGTGAAGAGTTGGGGAGCTGGGCAGTTCTGGGGCTGGTCTGAGCCCCTGCGTCCCTGGCACTCCACAGGCCGCCGCCGTGCTCGGCTGCACTGCCATGGTCACCCTGACTCGAGCTCTTGGCAGGCGACCGGAGTGAGCTTGTCACGGAGGCAAGCTGGCTTTCATTCTCCATTTCATGTGTGCTATTTCGGGATTTCAGGAAGGCAGATGGCTTTAAGTGGTACTGTGGAGCAACTGAAGTTCGTTTTTCCTGAGCTGTTGGTTCAGATGACAGAGCCGGCCCGGTGCCTGAGTTCCTCCTCACCGGCCTCAGCTGCACCATCTGCAGCGCTTCTGTGGTTATGAGGGGCATGGGGGGTCTGCTGCTCTCCTCCCTAGTGGAAGGCGGCCTGAAGGCCTCCCGGGAGGAGTCTGGCTGGCTAGAGCTAGGGCAAGAATGCCTGGGGTCTCTCATGAATTTGGGGTCCAGAGGAGGGGCAGGTGGAGGCTCCGAGGAGGGTAGGACAGGTGGAGGCAATGGTAAGGGCACAGAAGAATGTGGAAAAGGGGGGCTCAGTGAAGCGGGGGCAGGAGGAAGGCACCCATCAGGTGGGGAGCAGAAGGGAGTGAGAGCTTCAGGTGGCGGAGGGGGGAATACAGGAGAGGGAGGCAGTGCACAGCCCTCAGGACAGTCGGCCAAGGGCGGGGGAGGCGGGAGGAAGGGGCCTGGGAGAGGAGTGGGGGGCACTGGGGGACAGGCTGATGCTGCGTCCAGTTTCTTCATTGTGCCGCTTCCTTCTGTAGAGGTGTTAGAGGACAGAGAAGTAGACGATGAGGAAATGGACACTGAGGATATCAGAGAGGACTTCCTTTCTGGCACCTTGGGCTTGGGCTTCCCCTTCCCATTTGCTGGTGACATGGATTTTAAAAACACAGGCACAGGGGTGAGAGCTGTGGGTGTATTTGACTGGCTAGAATACCCACTGGATGGAGAAGTGACTCTATGTGACTTCTCTGGCGATGTGATCTTTGGTTTAACCGAACCACTGGGTACTTGTGGCGGGACGGCCCTGGGCCCTTCCTGGACAGGGCGGACGAGGCCATTTCCAGCGGGCGTTCCGCTGCCAGCCAAGCAGCCCCCTCCTGGGGTGCCCGGATCTTCCTGCAGGCCTGTGTAGTCAATGTAGTAACCCCACGGGTCCGTGTACTCTGACTTGACGCTGCTGGTATCGCTCTGTGATGGAGTGACCCCACACAGGGAGTAGACGTTGGGGGCGGTGGTGGAAGTTAGGCTGCTGCTGGCGCTGACGGTGCTCTGACTCCGTGACCGGGGCAGCCAGGGCTCCTCCAGGTCACTGCAGGGACTATGAGAGGGCGAGCTGCCGCCCTTGCCTGGGAGGCTCAGGTGCAGCGAGTGCTGGAGCGAGGCGATAAGGTGCTCATTGAGCACCTGCCCATTGGATTGGCCGTTCTTTTTGGGAACTCTGCGGAGGGAGTCTGTCCGGGAGGGTGGCAGGGGAGGCTTCTTTGCTTTCTTCAGAGAGATGTTTCTTGAAAGGGACTTATCATTCCAATTCGACCTGTCCCCTTGGTTTTTCTGAGCTCTTCCATCAAACACATTGACCACGCTGTGCCGAGGGTTCCTGAAGCCATCGCTGCTATTGCACAGATTCCCAGACGCACGTCTGGAGTCAGAGTGCACAGATGTGCAGTAGTCGTCGTGGTCCTCAGAGTACAGCGATCCTGCATCCTCTTTGTTGAATGTTTGGTCCAAACTGCAGCTGCTCATGTTACTTGCTGGTGTGGAGTACCCAGGAGTTGCCACAGGTGGCTTCAGCGGGGATGCCTGCCCATTACTTGAGGCTTGGTATTCCCAGGGCTCCGAGCTACCCTGTCCTCCACCCCCTGAATAACTAGACTCGCTATTGCCATCCACATCCTGAGGGTGGGCTGGGAAGCGTGTGTTGCTTCTGCAATTATAGGGCACAACTTGGGACCCATTCTCCCTATTTGCACTTAAAGAGACTGAGGAATCAGAGAGAGACAACAGTGTGGATGCACCAGGGGAATGGGTGTCTAAGGCTCGTGAAAGAACAGCTGGGTGGCCCTCACTCCAGTGACGGCGGGGAGACTGAGGGTCATCTTTCACAGTGTGCCTGGAGATGAGGTGGTCTCTGGATTTTATCTTCATGTATGAGGATGAGCTGGTGATTTTACTGTCCAGCAACCCTGAATTCTGAACAGGGTGAATAACAATGACCTCTGAAGAGGAAGAAAGTGTAGCATTTGGGATGATGCTGGTGGAATAGGTCGCATGAGGAGACACCACACACGCTGGGCTTGTTACATTTTCACTCTCAAAGTGCCTCAGCTCCTGGGATTTGGGCCTCAAAAGTGCTCCCGTCCTCGAGGCATCCCCTAAATATCCTAAGTGTTCATCCACTTGTGGATTACTCCTCTGGTAGGGGAAAGTGCCCCCCGTGTCTCTTGCAGGGCCCGGGGCACTCAGCCTCGGCTCGAGGGGCTGCATGTCTGCCCTTGCTCCTGAACGCGGCAGACTGTGGAAACCAGCATCGCTGTGGAGGCGGGACGGGAACACGATACCCGCAGAATCGCTTAGCACAGACATGTTGCCAGAGGAGCCAGAGAAGTGGCTCATTTGGGCAGCAATGCCTTGCCCCTTCTGCGCCCTGATTCTTCTCATGGATGGTGGCACGACTTTCATGTCCTCAGTCTGACAGCTGGAGTCCCTGGTTTCTGAGCGCTGCCCAGCAGGCCGGTAGCTATCAAGCCTTCCTAGTGTAGGGTAGTGGTCTGGGGCAAACACTGACTGACCACCAACATCATCTTGGCCAGTGCCAGAGGCTGGAGATAAAGCAGAAAGGGGCTTGTTACCTGAAATGAAAACCCGAAGTTCATCACCTGTACCCTCGCCTCCTCTGACTGTTGTGATTTAGAAAAAACCCAAAACTTGTCTACTTGATTTAGTTTCTTTTCTCCTATAGGTAACCTAAGTGCATTAAAATAGTTACTGACAGCTTTAAAATAAAAATCCTTATTTTCAAACCCCTCTGTAGCTTGAGTGCTACATATAGAACTCTCAGGTAATCCCATAGAGATCAAGGTCACTGAGTGCTCTGTGAAGTATTTACTTTTCAAATAAGCACCTTTTGGTAAAGTCTTCAAAGTAGCCTTTTCCCTACTAGTATCTGCACAGACAGAGTGTCTGTCGGGCAATGACACATCTTTCCCATGACAGATGAACGCAGTAACTGAACAGCACAGTCACAGAGAGACCAGGTCTGAGGGATACTGGTATAAAACAGTGCTGATTATATTAATTCTTTATGGCCCAAGGAAATCCTAAGAAAAAGAAAACTGATTTACAGATCCATTTGTGCTTCAAACATTTAATTATCCATCGTAAGCCATTATCATCTGTCTGTTGGTGACATTCAAAACTCAACAGCAATCTGTTGTGTTCTCATGAGGGAAACCAGCAGGAACTGATCCAGTGAACGTTCCTTTAAATCAGGCTAATTCATTAGTCTTTACAGCCAAACCAAGAATAGCATGTTAAAGAAAGAAACACGAAGAACAGCAGAGAAGGTAGTAGAGGAGGGAAAACCTTACTGGTAGATAAACAGGTTTCAGACTACCCAAGAAGAAAAGAGCTTAAAAGAAAAAAGTCACAAAGCCAAAAGCTTACCCCAGGGTACTGAGAAAAAAAAAAATCAGTCAATCCTTAGGACAACTTAAATCTTTCAAAACAGTAGTAAAACCACAGTCCTCACTGTGTTTTCTTCATTCAGTGAGGACCCAAAAGTACCCCAGGCTTGGGCTTTGCTGGGCAACACGAGTCCAGCACAGCCATCTGCAGCAGTGGACGCCTGGTCGTGACACTGATGTAATGGGACTTCCTTCCACCCCCATGTAATTTAACCATTGCATGGATTGGCTATATAAAGCCTTTTGCTTGTCTGGATTGCAAAGGCTATTACTAAAATGGCAGCCGTGTGCAAGTATACTTGGGTCTTTAGCAAAGAGGATCTATGTCCTGTCTCTACCCTCTACTAAATATGCACTCACTGAATGCAGACAGAGACACAGACAGACAGACACAGGAGGCTATCTTTTAGAAAGAGGGGAAATAAGCAAAAGGGCAGAAGCAGAAGAAAAGTCCAGTTTGAGAAAAGAAAAAAAGGTGTAAGTTTTTGCCATTTGGCCATTTAGAAGACAGGAGGTTGACTTGTAACTGGTGTTTCAGTTTATACAAGTTCAATTCTAAACATTCAAAATACTTCATTCTGTTCAGCAATGGGTTGTAACATCTTTTTCTTACAAAACTGTAATAGTATTTGCATGGGATTAATGGGAGATATTTAATTGTCTTTAGATGCCATAAACAAAATCCTAATGCTTTGGGGTAATAATTTTGAATGTAAAGCCATTCTAGACTTCAGAAGTAGAAATGTAGCCAATTCTTCACCATCTACAGCTAAATATAACATTCTTATTACAACAATTATTTCCTAGGGATTTTAAATACATACAAGAAACTGACATCTACTTTATCTTAAGAACCAGCAAAATTCTATTTCCCAAACAGACTCTTCATTATTTTCACAGTATAAAAAGCTTCATAATACTGTAAGTTGTGGATGAGAGCTATACAGGGATACATCATTTTATTGCATTTCACTTTATTGTATTTTGCAGATAATTGGTTTTTGTTGTTGTTTCTTAAGAAATCGAAGGTTTGGCTCAGTGCCTGTGGTTCAAGTGGCTAAGGCGCCAGCCACGTACACCTAAGGTGGCAGGTTCGAATCCAGCCCAGTCCTCCAAAACAACAATGATGGCTGCAACCAAAAAATAGCCAGGCATTGTGGCAGGCACCTGTGGTCCCAGCTACTTGGGAGGCTGAGGCAGGAGACTCGCTTGAGCCCAGGAGTTGGAGGTTGCTGTGAGCTGTGATGTCACAGCACTCTACCCAGAGGGATAGCTTGAGGCTCTGTCTCCAAAAAAAAAAAAAAGAGAAAGAAAGAAAAGAAAAAAAAGAAATCGAAGGTCTGTGGCAACCCTGTGTGGAGTAAGTCTGTTGGTGCCAATTTTCCAACAGCACGTGCTCGCTCCATGTCTCTATGTCACATTTTGTTAATTCTTGCAATATTTTAAACTTTTTCACTGTATCTGTCATGAGGTTTATGATCAGTTTTTTTTTCTAACACAGAGTCTCATTCTGTTGCCCTGACTAGAGTGCAGTGGTATCATTATAGCTCACTGCAACCTCTAACTTCCAGGCTTAAAGCCATCTTCCTGCCTCAGCCTCCTGAGTAGCTGAGACTACAGGCACAGGTCACCACACCAGGCTAATTTTTTCTATTTTTAGTAGAGACAGACTGTCACTCTTGATCAGGCTGGTCTGGAACTCCTGACCTCAAGCATTCCTCCTACTTCAGCCTCCCAGAGTATCAGGATTATAGGCATGAGCCACTATCATTGTGCCCACCCAGTGATCTTTGATGTTGCCATTATAATTGTTTTGGTGGGCCACAAACTACACTCAAATAAGACAGAAAAATTAATGGGTAGATACTGTGTGTTCTGACTGCTCCCCCTACCAGACGATCCCCCATCTTTCTCTCCTCAGGCTTCCTTTCTTACTTTAAATCAAACACCAAAATGATTAAGCTTAGTGAGGAAAGCTTGTCAAAATCCCAGACAGGCTAAAAGCCAGACCTCCTGTACCAATTAGCTAAGCTGTAAATATAGAGGAAAAGTTCTTGATGGAAATTAAAAGTTCTATGCTAGGGAACACATGAATGATAAGAAAGCAAACAGCCTCGTTACTGATATGGAAAAAGTTGTAGCGGTCTGGATAGAAGATATAACCAGCCATGACATTCCCTTAAGCCAGAGCCTAACCTAGAATAAGGTCCTAACTCTCTTCAAATTCCATGAAGTCTGAGGGAAGTGAGGAAGCTGCGAGAAAACCTGGACGCTAACAGAGGTAAGTTCACGAGGTTTAAGGTAAGAAGCCTTCTCTAAAACATAAACCAGCAAGGTGAAGTGGCAAGTTATACAGAAGATCTAGCAACAATAATTGATGAAAGTAGCTACATTAAAGAACAGATTTTCAATGCAGATGAAACAGCTTTCTATTAGAGAGGATCCCATCTAGGACTTTCATAGCTAGAGAAGAGAAGCCAATACTTTAAAGCTTCAAAGGAAAGGCCAACACTCTTACTGGGGGTTAATGCAGCTGGTGACTATGAAATTGAAACCAATGCTCATTTAATGTTTAGAAGAGCCTAGAGTTCTGGGCGGCACCTGTGGCTCAAGGAGTAGGGCGCCGGCCCCATATACTAGAGGTTTGCGAGTTCAAACCCGGCCCCAGCCAAAAACTGCAAAAAAAAAAAAAAAGAAAGAAAATCCTAGAGTTCTTAAGAATTATGCTAATTCTGCTCTGTCCATGCTGTATATATAAAGGGAACAACAAAGCCTAGATGTTTACAGCATGGTATACTGTGCTGTCTACCTTGCTGTACATGGTGTATATTTTAAGCCCACTATTGAGACCTACTGCCCAGAAAAAAAAGATTCCTTTCATTGACAAGAACTCCGATGGAGATGTACAAAGAGATGAATGTTGTTTTCATGCCTGCTAACACAACATCTGTTCTGTAGCCTACGGACCAAGGAATAATTTTGACTTTCAAGTCCTATTGAACATTATTTCTTTTTGTTTTTTCTTTCTTTCTTTCTTTCTTTTTTTTTTTTTTTTGAGACAGAGCCTCAAGCTGTCCCCCTGGGTAGAGTGCTATAACATCACAGCTCAGAGCAACCTCCAACTCCTGGGCTCAAGTGAGTGTCCTGCCTCAGCCTCCCAAGTAGCTGGGATCACAGGTGCCCGCCACAACGCTCGACTATTTTTTGGTTGCAGCCATCATTGTTGTTTGGCAGGCCCGGGATGGATTTGAACCCACCACCTTAGGTGTATGTAGCTGGCGCCTTAGCCACTTGAGCCACAGGCACCGACCCTGAACATTATTTCTTATTACTTAGGAATACATTTTGTAAGGTTCCTCTGACGAATCTGAGCAAAGTAAACTGAAAACCTTCTGGAAAGGATGAACCATTCTGGATGTCTTTGAAAACAGTTGTGATTCATGGGAGAAGGTCAAAATATTGCATTAACATGAGTTTGGAAGAAGCTGACTCCAACCATGACTTTGAGGGATTCAAGACTTCAGAGCAGGCAGTACCTGCCCATGTGGTAGAAATAGCAAGAAAACGAGAATTAGAAGTGGAGCCTGCAGATGTGACTGAATTGGTGCAGTCTCATTATCCAACCTGAAAGCATTGCTTCTTATGGAGAAGCAATAACAGCGGTTTCTTGAAATGGAATCTACTCCTGGCGAAGATGTGGTGAATATTGTTGAAATGACAGCAAAGGATTTAGAATATTTTATGAACTTGCTGTATAAAGCAGTGGCAAGATTTGAGAGTATTACTTCAATTTTGCAAGAAGTTCTACATGGGTAAAATGCAATCAGATAGTATTGCATTCTGTATAGGAATCTTTCCTGAAAGGAAGAGTCTGTTGTATGGCAAACTTTACTGTGTTACTTTAAGAAATTAGCCCAGCCACCTCAACCTTTAGCAAACGCTGAGGCAAGGCCCTCCACCAGCAAGATCACAAACCTTTCAAGGCTCAGATGATTGTTAGCATTTTCTTTTTTTTTTTTAATTAAATCATAGCTGTGTACATTAATACAGTCATGGGGTACAGTGTGCTGTTTTTATACACAATTTGAAATATTTTCATCAAACTGGTTAACATAGCCTTTGTGTCATTTTCTTAGTTATTGTGTTAAGACATACTCTACATTTAGAAAGATTCACACGTACCCTTGTAAGATGAACCATAGGTGTGATCCCACCAATGACTGTTAGCATTTTCTTTAGCAATAAAGTATTTTTAAATTAAGGTATGTACATTTTTTAAAAAGATAATGCTATTACACACTTCACAGACTACGTTATGTTCAGTACAAACGTAACTTTTACATGCACTGGGAAACAAAAATAATTATATGATTCACTGTATTGTGATATACGCATTATCATGGAGGTATGGAATAAAATCTGCAATCTCTCTGAGGTATGGCCAAATTGATTAAAGAAGAAAACAAAAACTACAAACAAATTTAGACCACTTAGGTGTTGCTCAAAATCTTGATGGATATAAATGTCTTAACACAATAATTAAGTAAGTGAGGTGAAGGCTATGTTAACCAGTTTGATGTAAGCATTCCAAATTGTATATAAAATCAGCTCATTGTACCCCATAAATGCATTAATGTACACAGTTATGATTTAATAAAAAAATTGTTAAAAGAAAATGAATAAACAAATAAATAAATAATCTTGATGGGATTTATCTGATATTAAAACATAACCTAGGGCGGTGCCTGCAGCTCAAAGGAATAGGGTGCTGGCCCCATATGCCAGAAGTGGCAGGTTCAAACCCAGCCCCAGGGCTTGGCGCCTTTGGCTCAAGTGGCTAAGGCGCCAGCCACATACACCTAAGGTGGCAGGTTCGAATCCAGCCTGGGCCGCCAAACAACAATGATGGCTGCAACCAAAAAATAAATAGCCAGATGTTGTGGCAGGTGCCTATGGTCCCAGCTACTTGGGAGGTGGAGGCAGGAAACTTGCTGAGCCCAGGAGTTGGAGGTTGCTGTGAGCTGTGATGCCACAGCACTCTACCCAGGGGAACAGCTTGAGGTTCTGTCTCAAAAAACAACAACAACAAAAAACAAACCCAGCCCCAGCCAAAAACTGCAAAAACAAACAAACAAAAAAAGCCATAACCTAGGGTGGTGCCCATAACTCAGTAGGCAGGGCGCCAGACACATACACCCAGGCTGGCAGGTTCGACCCTGGCCTGGGCCTGCTAAGCAACAATGACAACTGCAACAAAATACCCAGGCATTGCTGTGGGTGCCTGTAGTTCCAGCTGCTTGGGAGGTTGAGGCAAGAGAATCACTTATGCCCAAGAGTTTGAGGTTGCTGTGAGCTGTGATGTCACAGCAGAATGACATAGTGAGACTCTGTCTCAAAAATAAATAAATAATAACCTAAAGAAATAATTACGTATAATTTCTCCCTTTCTTGTTAATAATACTATCAGAGATCTCTAATTTCTAAAAAATAAATATAATTAAGGATAAGAATCTATGAATTCATTTATTTAAGGTTTAGTGTATGAATTTTTTCAAAAGTCTTGCCAGGTCTTTAGTAATGTTCCTGGGACCAGCTATCAAAAATTATTTATAAAGCGATTCCTTTAAGTGAGGCTTTATCTGCTTAGAGAATTCACATGGGGATGAATTCAGTAGCCAAACATAATTATATACCAATAAAATAGTCCTATCTGATTCTCAAAGATGAAACTTCATTATGTAATATTCAGATAAGTTTCTGTGTAGTTTTAAGATTAAAGAAAAAAAATCGAAATGCCCAATTCATTTAAATGGAAGACAACAAATTGTAAGTTATCAGATACATTATGGAAGTAAACATTAAATGCCAGACCTTGATTTGAAAGGGCCATATACTATTGTATGGTACATTTTACTACCTCAGAGGAAGAGTCCACTATTTACAGACATCCAAGTAAAAACTGCAGATAATTAAATATAATTTTCCAATTCATAGAAGCATCTCTGTATAGTTAAAATTTTAAAAATCCAAAGTCTTTGACAACTTGGGCAATCTCTAGTGGAGAAGTTGCATCTTTACTAGTGAATACCTCATCTCCAGATAATCATTTTCTTTCTTGTCTAATATGTTTAACTTTGCCACACTTTCTCCTTATATTTTATATCTACAGGAGAACTAATTTTAAGGAAAATAAGAAGTATCTACTTTTGATAATTATTAGTTAGGTAGCATAAGACCTCCAAAATGACATCCTTCTAAGTGCAAAATATTGGGAGAAAAGACAAGATCATCCAAAAATCTTGTAAGGACAGAATAAATAAATATATGATCTAATTCTTTTGCTAAATAAAACTGTGTTCAAATGCTATCCCTGACTCTAGCCACCAATCCTCTAACTAGCCTACTTAGAAAACTGGAGTCCTTATCTAATTTTTTTTTCTTTCTAAACTAGCTCTGGCCTCGATGCAGCTGCCTCAGCTGACCTCCAGCTGTGATCCAGGTAATGTCACTGACTGCAACGTCATTGATGGTGTCATGTCTGGCAACGGTCACGACATGGATGATGTGGGGAAAGCCGTTTTCCCTCTTCCAGCATTAGTGTAGTTTCCTGTACTCTCATCACTGATTTCAAAATTACTCAATGTAAAAACCAACCAACCAAACAAACAAACAAAAAGCAGAAAATATCCAGTTTAAGGAAGACATGAATTACCTAGCTGACTAGATCATTCCAGTAAGATCAAAGAAATAGCTGAGTTATCTGGTAGTTTCACAAATAAAAATGACAAAGTGTATACCTCTCTCACTGCAGGGCTCATACTCTGTGTGTATGTAGACAATTAGGGTCACCTCCACAGTCATCCAAAACCTGTTGAAGGTGGTCAACTATTTTGGTTGGGAAGCCACTTAAAATGTAGCTTACCTCAAGACATCCACGCTCTCATCTTACAAGGGACCTAACCACCTGTCCTTAAAGTCATTGCCTCACGGCACATCTCCTAAAAGACCAAAGTATAATAAATGTAACCAAAGTGCTTGAAGAAATTACCCCGCTAAATATCTATGGAACAAGTGAATACAAACTAGCTTCTTAAAGTAGTTAGCTGTCACTGTGAGAATTAACAAAGAAAAAGTCTGAAAGAATAAGACACAGAAAGCCGAGGGGAGAGGGAGAAAGCACACAGGGTCAGTAAGGCAAAGGGCCAGTGCCTCCAGGCTGCGGGCCAGTGCCTGGAGGCCTCCGGTGGCTCCGGCGGAAGTGGCCCACTGAAAGCAGTAGCGTGTGGGCCAAGAACCAGATGTCAGAAACCCCACGGGGCAGTTGCAGTCTTGCTCTTGCTCCTAATGAACCCTTTCCTTATGCAGTAAGAAGCACCGTGTGCCATTTGGGTCACTGGAGCCACCCAGAGCACAGGCAAAGCATTGTCCTCTTGTCCAACGGCTGCTGCCGTCTGGAGGGCAGGACACACACACTGTAGGACTGGATGGCAGTAAGACAGGACATGCCAGGCAAAGGTGAGGGAGTCTGCCCTCCCCAACACAGGGCGCTCAGGCACGGTCACTGGGGCAGAAAGAAACATGAGCACGATGTCTGCAGCACCCAGCACCCAGAAGCTGAAACGCAACCTCAAGGCAGCATGATTACTATGGCTGAGTAAAACTCATTTTACTAAAAGACTATTAGGCAATTTCAGAAATAATGACTCAGTTTCTAGAGTGTAAACTTTGATAGTAGATAAAAGTAAATAAAAACATCGGGTGACGATGACTACAGTAGAACCTCTGTAACTTGACCCCTCAAGGGACTGTAACAAACTGGTTAACGTACAGAGGTGGTCAACAGAAGGAATTAGGCCTGCTGTACTGACATGTCCATGTGGTGCATGTTCAGTCCATGAAAATTAGATCAACTGAATGAGGCTGTCAACGTAGGTAGAAAGGTGGTCCCTACGGAGGTTCTACTGTCTCAGAGAAGAAGTCCATAGGTTGGCCACAAAGGAAGAGGCAAATTTCAAGATAGTAGTATGAAGTTCTCTATGACAGTGACCCCAAGGAGCTATTAGGATTATAGTAGTGTCAGGTGCTAAGTGCGTCACATCTATAAATTCGTTTAGTCCTCAAACAACCCTATGAAGTAGGTTGTATCACCAACCCCCATCTGTTAAGTGAGGAAGCAGACTCAGAGAAGTGAAGCCCCCGAGGACACTCGGAGTGAGTGCCAGGGCTGGGGTTCAGCCCCAAGCAAACTGGCATCAGCACTACCCCTGACCCAGGAGCTGCACTTTGCTGCTCTGCAGATATTTCTGCTGGGCCCCATAAAAATACAGGGAGAGGAAGTTAATATAGAAAGAGGAGAATGAGAGGATTATCTGACACATATAAAGATAAGCAGAAAGAAAATGGACAGGTGAATAATGAACCAAACAACCCTTTCCTGCAGCCAAAAATCTTTTTCTGTTTCTGGCTGTTATCCCAGGTTAAAAAATACTGACTAAAGAAACTGAACTTGTTTCTTTGAAAGTAATGAAGGCATTATATAATATAAATGACTATTTTCCACCATGCTGACATTTCCTGATAATCCCAGACTGCTGTTTCTGATGACAAAATACCACCAGTATTGTCAGGATAAACGGTGAAATCTACATTCATAGTCTGAAGTCCTAGAATGAGTTTTCAGTTTTAAGAAAACTTAAGATCTAAATGAAAAGTAAATTTAACGGTGGGAATGCCAGTGTTCAAGGTACACAGAGATGATGACGTAACTATCAATTTCTATCAGCACAGTTAATCATTTTCATATAAGCTCTTCTCCCTGTACCTTCTCCCCAACATCCAGTAAACCTGTCTGCATGGGATATTAAGATTCGTACCTAAGGCCTCATTCAGGAAGGAAGCTGGCCCTTTAGGGTACCAAACAGCTATCAGAATGTATCGATTTTATAAGCACCACCAATGAGGTTAGCGGAGTCCTGCGGAGCAGCACTGAGGGGGCAGGAGAATACAGTTCTGATGAGCCATACCTAGCTCCTTCTGTATGCTGTCAGGGACTCCTGTAATAGTCTTTCTCCTTTTGACTTTCTTCGGTCGTCTTACCAGAGTGTCTGTGTAAATTAGAGACCGCCGAAGGCTGGCCTGGCGATCAAAATTCTCCCCTAATGCAGAGTAGTAGAACAAGCAAAGCCATGTTATTTTCAAGCAAGCTGACACCATGCACTTTCTTCCAGAAGCTTGTTGTAAAATGATAAGAAGGTATTAATAATGATGTTAGCTAGTCATATGATGAGGAATGCTGAAGGGCAGAAAGGGAAGGAAAGCACAATATCATCATAAGGCTGTTTTCCAATTTGCGTGTCCTTCCAAAGCAAGCACCTTCATCTTATTTTCAGATGAGCTGGAGCAACACATGCGAATTTGTTAATAACACAATGGAAAAGTGATTGTGTTATTTAAAAACATGGATCATTTTGGAACTGTCTCGCATATATCCTCTGGTCCCCCAAACCACTCACATCAGCAGGTATGTGGAGATGGCAATGAATATACAGTAGAACCTCTGTAAGTTGACCTCCCAAGAGACTGTAATGAACTAGTCAATACAAGGAACTTGCACTGAGCGCATGTGGTACATGTCTAGTCTCTGAAAATGGTCAACTTAAGGAGGTGGCCGATGTAGGGAGCTGAACACCTATGGAGGTTCTACTGTATTTTGTTTATTTGTTGATCCCCAGAGACAAACACAACGTCTTGTCTTGTGTGATGAAACAAGAAGCAAGTCGAATGGAGAACTTCTGCTTCAATCAAGGATTCTGACAACTATAATGAAAATGAAATGCCTTATAATGATAAAGTACTTTTGCCATGATGACACCAGGAGCACTGCTGTTGTTAAAGCTGAACCACTTCTCTCAGTTTCATAATTCCTTCTTCTTCTTCTTCTTTTTTTTTTTTTTTGCAGTTTTTGGCTGAGGCTGGGTTTGAACCCGCCACCTCCAGCATATCGGGCCAGCGCCCTACTCCTTGGAGCCACAGGTGCTGCCCTCATATTTCCTTCTTAAACTTGATTTTAATTCAGACATACTCAGGTGCTGTTCCAATCGAATCTGAAATGCCACATCCACAGGGCATTTTTTCCTGCTAGGCTGTAAACTTGTGTGTTAAATACACCATGAGAAATGAGAAAATAATAAAGTCTGTAATAGCATCGGTTACTGATTGACTGCTTTAAGTTACTTGCCAGTTTCATGAAAGAAAGTGTTACAGCACTGGCCTTTTTGAATGGTTATTTTCCTCAAAAAGTAATTTTAAAATATATACAGAAAAATTACAAACTTCTAGCATCTTATGCATAGAAGAGTATAAAAACTTTCATTCTTTTCAGCAACACTGACACTGATTCAAAGTGGGTATGCAGTGGGCAACGCAACTTCTATTTTGAGAAGAATAAATTATGAACTTTAACCAAAACAGAGGATAAAAGATGTGAACGATCAAAACACATCAACGCAACTTCTATTTTGAGAAGAATAAATTACGAACTTTAACCAAAACAGAGGATAAAAGATGTGAATGATCAAAACACATTTTATCTACTGAAGAACCAACTTAATAAATGTTTGCAAACTTAACAAATGCTTGCAACTCTGTTGCTAGTGAAGAGATATAGAAACAATTGAGAGAATGGGCAGTGCCTGTGGCTCAAAAGGGTAGGGTGCTGGCCCCAAATGCTGGAGGTGTTGGGTTCAAACCCAGCCCCGGCCAAACAAACAAACAAATAAATAAATAAAAATAAAATAAAAAATGATTGAGAGAAGACCCTGAAATACGAGAAGGCCCCATTGCTGTAAAAAATGGGCCGCTGTGTGCGATCGCATAAATGGTGCTTGTAAGGGGCAAGTCACAACTTCAGTGGTTTACTAGTTCCTGCAGCAGAGGAAAAAATGATCCTGCAGCAAGACAGTAAGAAGGGAAAAAAACTAGCATGTGCTTATAATCCCAGCTACTAGGGAGGCTGAGGTGAGAGGATCGCTTTAGCCCAGGAGATCAAGACCAGCCTGGGCAACATAGCAAGATCCTGTCTCAAAAAAAAAAAAAAGAAGTAGATAAAACATTAATAGAAAGTTGCACTTAGTCTCCAGTTTTGCTTCCTAGGCAAAAAGAAAAGCTAAAACCTCCCAAGCACCAAGAAAATTAAGAAAAAGCCATTTGATAAGGGTGAACATCTAAGGATACCCTATGAAAGCACCATACGCTTCATCTTGCACTGTGACCTAAAATGCCTGTCTCCTCCATCGCCTTATACATTTTTTGAGAGTAGGGACTATGACTCATGTACTTTAGCATACCCTATAGTGCTCAGTTAATGCCTGGTACAAAGTAGTTATTCAGTAATTATTTGTTGAATTTAATCCCTCCCTTTCACTGAAAAATTGCATTAGTCATGGTTACTACTTAGAAATAAACTTAGGTAACTCAACATCAGTATAGAATTGTTTCAGTATGTTTGCCCCTCCATTTATCAGGTGGAAGAGGTGTCATCTCACATGGCAGATTACGGAACACACTTACGTACAATTTAATTCTTTTTTCTCTTCACCTCTTAGAACATGCCAAGTGCCCTCAGGATTATAACTAAAGACATTAAATCAATTTTCCAGCCAGCAGCTCATAATGTTCTACCTCTGTCTGGTGGGCTACACTCTGGATTTGAAATAAACATATTTACTGGCATGTTTTTCCTGCTAAGCCTTACTAAAAATCAAACCAGAGGTTTAATGCTCACCCTAATCAATGAGCATATGACAATTCTCTACAGGAAGATACATTTTTATCTTCTAATAAAAATCTTCTAGGACTTTAGAAATACATAACTCACAGAGCAGGAAATAGTATAACCTATGTTGATTCAACCACCCAAAGTAGAAATGTTAAATTTATTGCTTCTTGGCCAGATGAGGTGGTTCATGCCTGTAATCCTAGCACTCGTGGAGGCCAAGGCAGGTGGATTGCCTGAGTTCACAAGTTCCAGACCAGCCTGAGTAAGAGTGAGACCCTGTCTCTACTAAAAATAGAAAAATTAGCCATGTGTTGTGGTTCCGGTTATTTGGAAGGCTGAGGCAAGAGGATGGCTCGAACCCAGGAGTATGAGGTTGCTGTGAGCTATGATGCCACAGCATTCTACCCAGAGCAATAGAGTGAGACTCTGTCTCAAAAAAAAAAAACAAACTTTTTTTTCTTTTTTACACAAGATTAGATAAACTAATCATTTAAGAAATATATACATGTGTATGTGAACACACAGATCTAGATAGTGGATCAATAAATATGTAATTAGATGTTATATATAATTTTGACATTTCTACAAAATGTTAATTACTCAATTAAAAGTAAATTGCATTTTGACATAACTCATATTGCTCTTTCTTTATTGTCATTCACCTTTCCTGGGTGGCATTTTAAAGGCTTCCTTTTCAGCTCTATTTAATTCTTATCTATTTAGTCATCAAATGGGAGAATTAAAGCTCAAAGATATGATACTGTCTTCTCTTGTGACGGTATAATTTGTTGCAAATAATTCTTTATTCCTGAAATTCTAGTGACTCTATTTTAAATCGCTTCATCTCAAGATAATGCATTTCATCCTAATTCCATTAAGGAGTGTCATACTGCATAGCACAATCATCTTATCTTGTAAGATTATTTCATGGGCATTTAATCATATGCAATGTAATTACATTTCTCCTGAATTTAATCAATAAAATAATATCATTCATTTTCTTACAGAAAATAGGCACCCATGTATTTCATCAAGCAACAAACACTCTATTTTATCTTAAAACATAGCTACTTTTAAAAATAATCTTTAAAAAAAGTGATTAGGGGGCAGCACCTCTGGCTCAAAGGGGTAGGCTGCCGGCCCCATATGCCAGAGGTAGCAGGTTCAAACTCAGCCCTGCCCCCCCCCCAAAAAAAGTGATTGGGGTAAAGACCCATCAGGTACACTGAACACTACTCTGGTGATGGGCATGCTGAAAGCCCTGGCTTGTATCCTGTATAAAGTATCCACAAAACAAAAACTTTTGTAGTCCCTTCATATTTTCAAATGAAAAAAAATTTTTTTTAAATATGAGCTAGGTAAATAAGAGACATATTCAGAAAGATCAACAATATTATTTGGGGGAAAAAAAAGGATTAAAATGCCCTGGCTATTTTAAGGTTTAAGTAAAATAAATGTGGAAAAATGTATGTTGAATTAAAATGATTCATGTATTTGTTTATTACATTTAAAGTTTTAACAAACCTTCAGTAACTATCAAAACGTTATTAGCCCCTTACAAACTCACCAATGCCATGGCAGAAAGCAGTAGCCTCAGAAACACGGCAAGAATACTATGGGTTTCCAACCTACTTCTTTATGAAAACTCATCCTTCTTGGCCACCTGATTTTTTTTTAGGTTCTGGCCCTGTGGGCCCTACTTTTTATGGACTGAGTATCAGTGATCACTATTAGCCATTTATTTCCATCAAACACACAGTCGAATAGTTGAAGCTATTAACGCTTAACACATCTGTTTTTGTACTTTATACCTGCCCCAAACCATTGACCCATGCTTGTTGTGGGCTATGGTGGTAATTAAGCAGGAACATTTTGATATCTTTTTAAATAGCTCTTCTAATTTCATGAAAGATCACCTTTGAGCTTTGTGTATGTTATTAAAATTTATATTCTAGACAGTATAACATATTCTATGCATGTTATATTCAGAAGAAATTAATTTTTGTTTGATGATTATGGAATACAAATTATGAAAATCAAAATACAACTTTGTCACCCTATTAAGTTTCTAAAAAATACTTTTATAGTCATTATTAATTCACTTGATACTTTGAAGTAATTTTGCCCTTTTTCCACTTGAGAAAAGACGAAGAAAATCTGTCATTCAGAAAAACCACTAAATAATTACATTATTTCTATTCATGTTACTTAAAATAACCCTTTGGATGGAAAATACATAATTTTTCACATATAAAAAATTAGGATAAGCCAGGATAACATTTAGAAGATGTTTCTGTATAACCAAAACATTATTAAGATTTAATTTAAAAAACACTCTTTACATGGACAGTTGGAACCCTGAGTTGACACCAACCTTTGGTGATATAGTTTGCTAAACTAAAAAGTAATCAATATTTTGTATGCACACACATGCGTAGTTTAGTATTCCCTTCCTTAAACAATAAACCAGACCTTAGCTATTCACCTTTGATGTGTAAATGAAATGCTAAGAACCTATAACAAAAAGCTTGTCCTTCTCCCAAGTACATCCTGAATTCTGAACCTGTCAGCCTGGCAAAGCGTACCGGTTATGTTAATAGGAACCACATCAGCCTGGACCATCTGGGCGTGCTGTCGCATCTTCTCTTCTGGTGTTGGCAGTGGAAGTGACTTGGTCCAGTTCGTCTGAGTATTAAGGTCAGAGAAGTCATTTGAGGTTGGCGTTTTAGATCTCCTGATGGAAATAAATCTTTCTTCTTCTGACGAAGAGAGAGAACACTGCAGAGAAAAAAGAGGCAGGAGCCACAACGTATAAATAGCTGGCAGAAACATTTCAAAATACATTTCTTATTTTGAACAAATTAGATTGACTTAAAGGCAGCTGGAAACAAACATTGGGCCCACTCAGGAACAGAAGCAATGGTTTGCTCATCCTCCAGGAGGTGACCCATAATATACGTGACTCACACTGGCCTTAGTCTGAAACTGTGAGGACAGCAAAAGGTTTTGCTGACCCACCTGCTCTTTCAAGTTCCGTTTTTCCTCTGTGTACTGTGGTCACAAAGCTTATGGACAGCTTCTAACATTAGAAGCCTAGGGAAACATCAGGGCTGTGGCCATCAGTTTCCATTTTTATTAAAATTTAGTTCTGTTCGAAGTCATTTCTAGACTCAATCTTATTTCCTGGAGGCTCCGATTCAAGACACATTTCAAAAATGATAGAGCTATTGTTGTTGAACTATCTGTGTTCTTCTGAAACCATTTATATAGAGGGAAAAAAAATCAGTGTGAAATTGTTAAATTATGAGACACTGACTAAAGCTCTGCTCTGAGCCTTGGCAGAATTCCATGAAAACCTTTCTGCCAGGGTCTGTTTTGATACAGATGAACGTCCTCACTGAAGAGCTCTTCTTTAATACCTTTCTGCCCATAACACCTTAAAAGACAGGAAGCAAGAAAGTTGTGTTGGAAGCATTTAGGATGGGCTTCACCAGGGCTCTGCGGCAGTTGGTTCTATGGGAAGGAAGCTCCAAGAAGTCAAAACGGATGGAGTATTGCTTAGGACCATGCACAAAAAATGATAATGGACTTTTGCGGAGAAATGGTAGTTTATACTATACAGTAAAGGTATAAGAACTGCTCTTCAAGCCTAGAGCATTTAAACCACCACTTAGGAAAAGCAGGTCTTTTTGAAAGAATTTTACATAAGAATAAAGTCAGTGAACCTTCCCAAAAGGAAAACCTGCAAGACTGGCACCCAGATCAATACAGCACCCCACTCCCCCGCACCAAACATCCCCAAACAAGGGTAAGTGCTATCTGGACTTCTAACACCACAGCTGTGTTGTGCCTGTGTTTGAACTTTCTCTAAAGGGAATCACACTGTTCTCTTTTGGGACACGTTGCTTTCATTTAACAGTATGTTTGTGAGGATTTACGTGTATCTATCTTCATAAAGCACGGATGCCTTTCTGGATATAATGCAAGTTTCTAAGAAGACACAGGTAACAAATATACAGAAATGCACTGCTCAGAAATCTCAAACCCAAGAACACAGTCATCACTGATGAATGCCACTGAATTCATCTTGCTGCAAAATATCTGTATTTATTTCACCAATACTAGAGCTCCACAAATCTGAAAAAGACTATGACTATGTCAAAAGCAATGCCTATATTTAGGTGTTGGGGATAGGGCTTGAGACTGAGAATCCCAACCTGAGTTTGTTTCTAAACCTTGACATTTTCTTTGCTGTAACATGGGGCTTTGATGGCCTACCTTCTGCACCCACAGAGTTATTCTTAGGACCTAAAGAGCTGCTAAATGTGGAAGTGTCTATAACTGCTAAATCTCACAGACGTAAAGGTGGTGCTCACATAAACATAACTTCAAAAAGGCAAAGTTGTTAATTGACAACTAGCCATGTTTTCCTTCTATTGCAAGGAGGGTAATGATAATAAAGACATTAGGGAAATAAAAATATAAAAAATTACTTCATCTCTGGGAGGTGCCTGTAGCTCAACGGGTAGGGCGCCAGCCCCATATACCGAGGGTGACAGGTTCAAACCCGGGCCCAGCCAAACTGCAACAGAAAAATAGTCAGGCATTGTGGCGGGTGCCTGTAGTCCCAGTTGCTTGGGAGGCTGAGGCAAGAGAATCACCTAAGCCCAGGAATTGAAGGTTGCTGTGAGCTATATGATGCCACGGCACTCTACCGAGGGCGATAAACTGAGACTCTGTCTCTACAAAAAAAAAAAAAGAAACAAAAAACTTCACCTCAATATATTTACTTTATGTTCTTAATATATAAAATGATCATTTAGTTTCTTTTCAACCTAAGCAAAATGTGACATAATGTTTGTCATTATGCCAGATGCAGTGGCTCACGCCTGTAATCCTAATACTCTGAGAGGCCAGGGAGGGAGAATCACTTGGGCTTAGAGGTTTAAGACCAGCCTGAGCAAGAGCGAGACCTCATCTCTACTAAAAATGAAAAGTAGAAAAATCAGTCAGGTGTTGTGGCAAGTGCCTGTGGTCCCAGTTACTTGGGAGGCTGAGGCAGGAGGATCGCTTGAACCTAAGAGTTTGAGGTTGCTATGAGCTAGGCTGATGCCATGGCATGCTAGCCTGGGCAATAGAATGAGGCTTAATCTCAAAAAAAGAGAAAACTGTAATTAAACTAACAAATACACTCCATTTATAAACTGAGCATTTGTAACTAATGTCTTATGATACTAAATTGTACAGTTCACACAGATCCTTAAAAGACAGTCAAAGGAATTTTTGAGATAGTAGCAGCTAAGCCATACTAAAGTACATCAATTATTTTCAACCTTTTTGCAGTTAACACTTATTAAGTTTGATTTATCATGCATATTTTCTTTTCTTTTTTTTTGAGACAGAGTCTCACTATGTCACCCTTGGTAGAGTGCCGTGGCGTCACAGCTCAGAGCAACCTCAAGCTCTTGGGCTTAAGCGATTCTCTTGTCTCAGCCTCCCAAGTAGCTGGGACTACAGGCACCTGCCACAATGCCTGGCTATTTTTTTGTAGTTGTCACTGTTGTTTGGCAGGCCTGGGCTAGATTTAAACCTGCCAGCTCTGGTGTATGTAGCTGGTGCCCTTGCTGCTGAGCTATAGGCACCGAGTCTACAATACGTATTTTCTCAAGGTTCACATACACACACATACACAAATAAATTACAATTAATTTTATTTATGAATTTCATAGAAGTTTGTGTAAAAGCCACATGTCTTGAGTTTGAATCTTTTAAAAAATATTTAATTAGCATGTTGATACTTTTTTATTATTTTATTTTTTTAGAGTCATAGGCTGGAGTGGAGAGTTCTGATCATAGCTCATTGTAACTTGAACTTCTGGGCTTCATACTTCAACTTCCTGAGTAGCTGAGACTACAGTATGTGTCACCAAGCCCAGCTAATTTCTTCACTTTATTATTTTATTTTTTTAGAGATGGGGGTCATAGGCTGGAGTGGAGAGGTCTGATCATAGCTCATTGTAACTTGAACTTCTGGGCTCCATACTTCAACTTCCTGAGTAGCTGGGACTACAGGTATGTGTCACCAACCCCAGCTAATTTCTTCTTCTTTCTTTCTTTTTTTTTTTTTTTTTGAGACTGAGTCTTACTAAGTTGCCCTGGGTAGAGTGCTGTAGTGTCACAGCTCAGAGCAACCTCAAACTCTTGGGCTGAAGTAATTCTCTTGCCTCAGCCTCCCAAGTAGCTGGGACTACAGGAGCCTGCCACAACACTTGGCTATTTTGTTGTTGTTGTTGTTGTTGCAGTTGTCATACTTGTCATTGTTGTTTAGCTGGCCCGGGCTGGGTTCGAACCCGCCAGCCTCCGTGTATATGGCTGGCACTCTAGCTCCTGAGCTACAGGTGCCGAGCCCTAATTTCTTATTTCTTAATTTTTTTGTAAAGACAGGGTCTTGCTGTGCTATCCAGACTGGTCTTCAAGCAATCCTCCTGCCTTAGCCTCCCAAAGTGCTAGGATTATAGGTGTGATCCATGCCCAGCTTGAATCTCAATCTAGTAAATTAATTACTCCGATTTCCTGATACATAGATACAACTTTTTTCAGGCAATCTTGAATTACGGTATAAATCTTGAAGGCAATAAGAAACAAGTCCTAACCAAAAAGGTTTAAAAGAAAGAGAAGTAAAACTTTTAGGTTGATGGAAAACAGCTATCTACCCCTTATACAAGGGCTCCCTTTCCCATGTGACATCTGCCAAGGGAGCAGGAAGCTACTCCGATCCTCTATGTGGAAGCCTCTCGGTGGTGCTCATCAGCCCCACTAACCTTCTCTTTTAGCTGATGGACAGTGAGAACTTTCCCTCAGTGAGAAACAGCATGCCCTGGAGGCTCAGTTGCCATGGAATGATCACCAGGAATGTTCCAGTATGACAAGTGAAAGAGAATCCACTTAAAGTGCTCTCTTCCCTTGCAAGAAAATCCCCCAGACAAGCAGGGCACAGGTAAAGTTATATGCAAATGGGACCGTGCAATAGTACCACCACCTCCTGGAGAGAAACAAAAGGTCAGAACGGATGCCTGTCAGGGATATGACTCCAGTTGCTCCCAGTAAACACAGAAGAGGCACAAGAAAAACTTCCAGCATCTTCCTGGCAGATCACATCATCACTCCATTAAGATGGATATGGCAACACTCTGGATTATTACCTTGGCCTCTGAGCTGATCTCTGTGCTTCTGCCTTATTCATCACATTCTACGACTACTCCCGTTTCCAAGAGCCTATTCTCAACACAGCAGCCAAGGGCATCCTTTTAAAATCTAACTCAGATCATGCTGTTCTTCTGTTCAAAATTCTTACTATCCTGTACAAGACCCTACATGATCTACTAACTGACCAACTGTTTTCTGATGGCATTTCCTACTGTTCTAGCCCTTATTTATTCTATTCCAGCCACACCATCCTCCATGCTGTACTTCGTACATTCCACGCATGCTCCGGCCGCAGGGCCTTTGCACGTGCCATCCTGCCACCTGAAACGTTCTTCCGTTTCAGGCATTCACACAGGTAGCACCTTCTTTTTCTTTTGGTGTTTACTCAAGAGTCTTCTTGTTTGGGTCTCACCTGTTGCCCCTATTCAATTTCAACTTCTCTTTTATAATCCCCTTCTCTGTTTTCTTTTTCCTTTTTAGTACACATAACTGGGGTATTTATCTCTTTTTTATGTGTCATGTTTCTCCCACAAGAATATTAAGTTCCATGAGGCTTTAAATCACAATTACAT